TCTATTATTGATTGTTTGGAACTCTTTCTGTAGGTTTTGTATTGTTTCCAATGCTGTATATATCTTATTTGATTGTTCCTGTAGCACTTTCCTGACTTCTTCCTTATTTTTCTCAACTCCATTGTAAAGTATTTTGAAAGATTTTATAATTGTTTTTCTGAATTCCTTCTCAGGCATTTCCAAGGCCTGCCCTCCTTCCAGAATGGAACCCAGGTCTACTTCTAGGTTATTTGTCTCAGACATTTGATCTTGTTTCTAGACATGTGCTGATATGGTCATCTGCTTTTGCTTCTTAGATGTTTAGTATTTATCTGTGGCTTTAATACTTAATTGAGTATGTGTTTTGGTATTTTTTATGCTTCTGATTACTTCCAGGTAGATGTGATCAGGATGTGGGCTTCCCTTTTCACTCTTCTTATTGCTTAACACAGAGTAACTTTCACAGGTGTTGTCTGTTCCCCTGGTATATTGCAGTTGGTGTTGGTTCTTGCCTGGATTTTGGTGTTTTACAGAGTGTGACTGTAGCTTGACTATATGGCAGCAGTTGTTGACTCTTCTTGTGTAATATAGGAAAAGAAAGAGTCCCCCAAAGGTAGAAGTGGAAGTATAAAACAGCAAAATAGTACCAGCAAAGCAAAACAAGAAGAAAAAAAATCAACAAAACAAAACTAGACTGAATACTGCAGTCTATAATCACAGAAAAGGGAAAGGAGGGAGAAAAGGAAAAAGAAAAATTCTGTAGCCTAATATGAGTATGACTTTAATGTCCTCTCTTCAGCTTCTTGCTTTCAAAGCTGCCTGAGATTTCAAGATGTTGGTTGTTATGCTATACCTCAGGCTTTAATTAAATTTAGGTGTGTTTTGTTTTTATACTCTCTTTCCCTCTCTACAGCCCTGTCCTGGCCTTTCCCGTATTTAAAAAAAAAAACAAAAAAAAACGTTCAGGGCTGCGCTTGGGCTGAATATCTGTGAGCATGTGTGGCAGAAGAATCCACCAGTGGTGAGGGTGGGGGTGTCCACTCGCTCAGGCACCCCCTATAGTTAGCATAATGGAGGTGCGCAAACAGTGGGGGTGCCAATGACCAGATACCAAAAAAAAAGAAAGAAAACCAGAACAAACCAAAACCAACAAAGTGTATATTGTCCACCTTTGTTCCAAGGTTCCCCCAGTGTTTTTCTGTGTTGTTTCTGCTCCCCCCGCTTGGTCTTGCTATTTGCTTTTGCCCAAGATGTCAACTCCGGACCTCCCAGCCTGGCAGATTCAAAAGTACGTGATTTCTTCTGCTTCAAGTTCCACTAGCTGTAAGCCTTCAAATGTTTAAAATATTCCTAGCTATGTGGTTCCGAGTTTTGGAGCTCTGCCTTGGATCTGCTTTGCCTGGTATTCTGTGGTATGGCTGACTGCGAACTTCACTGCACCTCCACCCTAGCCACCATCAAGCCCCACCTCCTCCTCCATTATCTTTTAATTCTGTTTTCCATGAGCTTTCTGAAGCTTCCTCATATATTGTTGTCGTTGTTGTTAGGTGCCATCGAGTTAGAACC